GTTGCGGACGATGATCTGGTACATCAGTGATGACCAGTGATGTTAACACAGGTTACAGGTTCAGAGTGTTTAAAGTGAAACACCCAAGCAAGAGTGTTAGGTACGGCAATTGTGTGGAACCTTCGGGTGAACTTCTTAAATAGGTAATATAGAAAAGTTACACATGTAGCCAATTGTACACTCTCCTGTAGTGGTTCATTGAGCCACAATACCAAAAGACCAAAGAGGTTACCTTAATAAAAAAAAAAAAAAAAAATACTTCAAATCCAATTTTATAATATTTAATTTTCTATTACTATATTTATACAATTTTTTTTTTAGAATATGTGACCTTTATGAAACAAAATATATGCTAACTACTACTACTAGTAATAACTTTTTAAATTATAATAATGCTATAAAACTAACTACACAATCAATACTAAATGCAGACTTTGATGATAATGATGAAGAGTTGGATAAACTTGAACATTACATCTCAAAAAATTCAGCAAACAAAGAAATTGACATATTGGCATAGTAGAAGGTATAATAATAAATACAGTATATAAAGTTTTTGTCTTGAAAATGACTTTATAATATATAGTAATCAATGATTACTATATATTATAAAGTTATTTTCAAAGCAAAGACTTTATATATCTTGTTAATAAATTAATTTAATAAATTTATATAGGTATACCAAATTCAGTATTCTTATCTTTCCTGTATGGCTTATAACTACCTAGCAATTTTTGCAACTTCTGTTGCTTTTAAATGTTTTTTTTCTGCTAGTAAAAATATGATTACTAAAAACAGTTATAATTTGGCATCTAAAACTGTAAGGACAGCACAATATCTTTGATCATAGATGCAAGAACTATTGAAGAGAAAAATTTAAAACTATAGTTTTTTTTTTTAAGAAAAAGTATAAGTTTTTTTTTTTTTTTTAAAAAAAAAAAGTATAGTTATTGTATTACTTATACTTTAATAAAAACTAGTATAAGTTGTTTACCAGCCTATAATATAAGACTTTATTATCTTTATTTTTATTTAATCTAATAAGTTTTAAATTAAAGTTTGAAACTGAATATATAGTTTATATACAGTTGCACTCTTATATAATTACACCATTAGGACCTACAAAAAGTGTTTTTATATAGAACATATACTTATGTGCTTATAATAGAAAATTATTTTTATATATTTAATAGTAGTTGGCTTAACAAATAAATACACTTATAATAGGTAATGTGCTTATGATGTGTTTATATAGAAGATTCTTATATGAAAATGTGACTGTATTTGTTTTTAAATTTTAATTTTATAACATTTATATAAGATTTTTGCTAACTAAATAGCCCTTTGGAACTAGTTCTGAAGGACTATTTAGTTAGCAAAAATCTTATATATTATCTTTTAAGTAAAATTTATATTATAGATATTTAAATCTGAACATGTTTATGAACTTCAAACTGAACTGAACTTGCTTAAAAGATTTGGAATCAAACCTAGACTAAACATAAGTTTAAAAAAAGTTCAGGTTCAAGTTTGGTTCAAAAATAGAACTGAACTTGAACTTATCTAAAAGTTTGGTTCAGTTCAGTTCATAGGGTTCTTATATCTGAGTTTTTAAGAAAATCTTATTTATTCAATCTTTTATATCTTATTTGGTATCTTTATAACAGTTATGAAAATAAAAATAATAATACACCAATGAATTTAAAATATAAATATATTCATTCACTTTATAAATTACTTATAGGATATAATTATTCACAATATTAAATGCTATTACAAACTTGTTAAAATATAAATTATATAACACTTATACAATATTTTGAAAAAAGAAGTTATATTTTAAATTTGTGAAATGCTTTATTAAAGTATTAGAATTTTATTCCAATACAATACAATTTTATTTAAATAACTGATGTTCTTTTATACTTAGTTTAATAACAAAAAACTTAATATTTAGTTAAAATACTTAATAAGATTTGATTAAGAATTTTTTCATCTTATTAATGATATTTCTTATTGGCTAAGACTCTGTGTTATAAATATTTAATAATAACAATTAGATAAATATACCTCCTAATTGATGTGTTCATAAAATGTTTAACAAAATCTTAGAATAATTAAGGTTTTTAATAAATACTACAGATAATTTTGATATATTTTTTCTAAAAAATTATTTAAGATACTCAAATCATTAGATGAATTAAACTTTGATAAGATATTTGATTCATTGAAAAAAGATATAAAAAAACTATAATCCATTTTAAAAAATAGATACTTTAATAGATGAAATTATCTTTATTCATTTGTCAATTAGAAAAAAATAATATCTGCTTAATCTTTTGCTAAAAGTTACTGTCATGTTATTAAAATATTCTAATAATTCTTCAATTATCTGAACAAAAAATAATCTATATAAAACAACTCAAAAATGATATTAAAAATAATACTTTTAAAGATTTTGAGTAGAAAAATTATTTGTTTCAGATTTAACTTTTCATAAACAATTTGATAATTTTTGTGATATATTAAAGCCTAGTATACTTGATTCCTTACTTTTTTATGAATTTGTAACTATAAAAATTTATTATATAGTTGTACATCAGCAACAGGTTGAAAGTATGTTTAACAAATTAGATTTGAAAACTCACCCCATGTTCTTAAAGAGTCCAAATTACGTCTCTCTAAGGTAAGTTTTTCAAAAGAAGACATTAAAAATGAAATTGTTGAAATTCAACGTTTTAATAAAAAAGAAAAAGATGAAGTCAATGAGATCAATGCGGATGATTTTGGTACAGAATGTGCATTAGTTACGTTTAATAAAATTTTTCAAAATTTTTTGATTATCTTATCTACTATATTATCGTCATATGTATATGAAATAAATTGGCCAATCATATTACTTGAAAATCTCAATTATGCAAATTCGATAAGGGTTTACATATATGTTTGATTTAATTAGTTGATTAATCACCCTATTGGGGTAATTTAGCTTTTTGAATCGGGATATACTCTTAAACTCTAAACCTTACATTAAAAAAAATTTTACAAGATTGGTTGACAGCACTCTGACATCAAACTAATAAAATGTCATCACTTTAGGGAAGACATGAATTTATTATTTATTCATATGAATATTGCCAGAGATAATCGGCTACACGTGTATGTAATTAAATTAGTGTTACCAAAGCTTCTGATTTTTTTAAATATATACTGTATGTAATCGATCAGGAATACAAAAATAATAAACTTGAAAGGCAGAAGTCTTGGCAGCATTCACATGTTATATAATCATATTATTTATGTTAAAAATGAATACGTATGTGTAAATACGTATATGTTGTATCTCGAGTAGCCACCTATCCGGAGTTGTTACATTAGATATCCGAAGTTTCATTTGACTGAAATAATCTTCATGCATGAAATAATTAGTCACACTACTTTAAATATCTAAAGTAGCAACTGCAGACAGTTAATTACTTTAGAAAAAAAAAAAAAAAAACCACATTAGAATGAGAATGAATAAGATATATTTTTTCGTTCCCTTCAACATTTGCATTGTCTAAATAGTATTTTCTATAAAAACAAAAGTAAACATATGAAAGAAGAATATGTAAATAATTTTTTTTTTTAAAAAAAAAAGTTATAAAACCAAATTTAACACTTTTTCAATCAATTTAAATATTATCTATCTGAATTCCATTTAAGCCTGTGCCTAAATTATTCTAATAGTGTAATCTTATCTAATTAATTTACCGATATATTATATTTAGTTTAACCTAAATTACAAAAAAATTTACATAAAAAAAAAAAAACCGATAAACCATAAATATTCGATGTTATGTATATCTATTCATTTGTATTAAATTCGATTAAATCTAAATGTAAACAAAATTCATAAATAGGTTATATTAATTAAAAACTTTTACGTATGTTTCATATCCAAAAAAAAAAAAAAAATTCAACATACCACGTTCATTATTTGACATAATACTACCATTAATCGATTTTGCATCTAAGGAAATAAAAAAAAATTAAAATGATTTGATATAATATTATATAAACAAAAACAAACACATTATATGTATAAAGATTTATTTTCAAGTTACCACTATCATCTTGAAATTCATCCAAAAGTCTTTCCACTTCTTGTATAGAAAAACGGTCGTCTTCATCTTCAGTTGAAAGGAAAGATCCAGGTGACAAGCTTCTATGTAAACCAATTGTAGACCTTGCAGACTCAACTGAAATGAAAGAATCTGGTGATGAACTTCTAGTAACAACGACCATTCCTGTATTTTCATGAGAATTAGATCTTCTTCTAGACCATAAATCACTATTTCGTCTTGAATAACTTGTTTGTCTAACATCCAAAGATGATCCCATTGGACTTGAAGGATTTGAATGATGATAAACATTATGTGATTTACGACGATCATTCGATCGTTTACCGAAAAGACTCGCAAATTTCATTCCATCAGACATTAATGAATTAAATATTTCACGTCCTAAACCTTTTTGTCTTTCTTCAACAGGTTCAACTAATTGGAATGTAGCTGCGAAACCGGTATCGAAAAAATCTACTAAATATTCATCTGATAAAATTACCTCACGAAATAATGGAAGTGATAATATAGTATCATCATCATCTTCCGTAAATGGAGCATCACTATGATTTGAATCTAATGATTTTTCGGAAGAAGAATAAATACTGGATTTAAATGCAATCTTTGTGAAATTTGAAACAGATCCAAGACTTTCATCATCTTTTCGAAATCGAAATATGAATAAAAAACTTTCAGACATTTGTAAAATTTCCTCTTTTGATAAGTATCCATCTTTATCACTATCATGTAAATTGAAAAATAATTCTATTCGTGATAATATATCTCCAAATTTAATTGCACCAAGTCCTAAAACAGCATCTTGAAGGGTAATTCCACCTGAAGATAATCTATCAAAATAATCAAATAATTTATTGATAATTTTATAACCGACAAGTCTATGTCCTTGACTATCTCTGAGCACAGTATCATTATCATTAATTAAGTCATTGTTCTCTAATTTTGCCCAATCGGCAATACTTCCTAAAAAACTATAAAATGTATTTACATTCATTCGTGAATCAGTTCGTGAATCACTTTTTTGTTTTCCATAAAATTGAGCTGTAGAGAATTTATCATAAATAATGGAGATATCCTCTTTAGAAAATTTTAAAGTATTTTGAAGATTTCGTATTACACTTCTTTTGGTAAAACTTTCAATGTTATGAACAACTTTAAGTTGATGAGTTTTTCGAAGTTCAATTAAACTTTCAGTTGTAATACTTGCAAATTCTTTAAAAGCAACAACCAATAGCTCATTAAATTTAGTTATCTCTCTTATTTTGGGATTTTTATTGTCTGGATGCGCAGGTTTATCCAATGTTGAAAAATAACTTTTCAACACGTGAATAAATGCTCCATCATCATTAATTACCATTAATTCCTTTTTATTTACCTTCAGAATTGCTAAAAATGTATTTATAATAAATTTATGTTAGATCTATTTAAGACTTTTTATAAAGGTAATCTAATAGTTATTAGAGATACTTGCCTAGTCTAATAAAATTCAACATCAAATTTTTTTTTTTTTAAAAAAAAGTCAATATTTAACAATAATTTAATAATATATGATAACAATATTAAATTAATATCTTACCCTATTTGGAATAAGACTCTGGGACCTTCCATGAAGAAACAATCAAGCACACGAAAGGCATAAGTAAGAGGCATTGAATTTATGTAAAGACTTAAAAACCATGGGAAACAAGCAACTGTCAACTGAACATCTACTCTTTGAAAATGGCTATAGAGTGATGGCATCTTCATTTGAACGTAATGTTCGAATATCATTTGATCAAGAATTGCGCCATACATAGAAGTGCTTTAAATTATAAAAAAAAAATAAGTTACAAAACAAAATTATATAATTTGCATAATTTGAAATAATTATAATCAATTATAAATAAATCTTCTAACCTGTAATATCCAGGTAGCATTCTATCACATAATACACTCAGAATCCAAAATGCTTGTTCCTCGCTCATGTATCTAAAGTGAGAAAGCTTGTTTAGAAAAGGGCAAATATGAATAAGTTAGGGGAGTGCTGTTTATTACGTAATTATTTAGGTGAGGATTTTATCTAATAAAAGAAATTACGTAATAAACGACACACACATTATACTTACATCAATAGAGCTGATACGACAATATTCATTGCTTGACAATACCCTAATTCGGGATCCTTCCAGGAATATGCAGTTAACACACGTCTTAATCTGTTGATACCTTCAGGTGTTTGATATGCAGGGTATTCAGGAAGTGATCTGATAAAACAAAAGTAAAATTTAGAAATAAAAAAACATCCACAAAAAAAAAAAAAAAAAAAACAAACCAAAAATCATAATCTACCTGTTCAAATCTTTTTCAATTTCTTCTGTAGAGAGAGAGGATTTACCCGAATACTCTTTATGAAGTCTATTATATAAACCATCGTTTATGAATCTCAGATACATTGCTCCAGAGCACAATTCCCACATTTCTCCGCGTAGCCTGTTTGGTAGCCCGGCACGAACCAGTTTTTGAAAATCTGGAAGTTTAATAAGAGTTAAATTTCGACCATTGCCTAATAAAAAGAAATAATCATCAATAAGAATTTATTTATTTTATTTGTTAAAAAAGAAAGAGGTATGTATGTATGCATGTATGTATGTATGTAATAAACGTACTCTGCATATATTCGGTCCAAAGTTTCGTTTTATATCGATCCCTCTGTCTATAAAATAAAAATGGAGTTATAAACTTTATACATTATAATTATTCATGATAAATAAAGGGACCAACTTTTTAGCATCACCGGGAAACCCATAAGTTAAACCCAATCCTCCAAAAGGATGCTCCTTTTTAGAATCTGTTAACAAAGTTTCTGAATAACAAGTATTTAAAAATGATTTTAAAGACTTCATAAGATGGACTTGATCTTTTAAATTATCTCTAAGAATCACGCAAAACTTTTCAATTGAAGTTTTTGGCATATTGATTTGAAATAATAATTTCATTTTGTGCCAATTCGATATGGATAAAGCAAAATCATGTGTTTTGCTAAAGAGACGTTCAACCCTTTGTACAGTATATAAAGGTAAAACTAGACTACATTGTTTTTTTTCATTAGATTCAAATGTTAAATAACCTTCCGAAATTTGAAGTTTACCAACATAAATATCTTTCGTTTCTGGCATCACAAATTCACAAGTACATTCTTGCATTAAATGTTCTGTTATAGGTAGGTTAGATGATATTTGGAATTCTTTGTCACGTTTTTGATCTTCAAGATTTTTTCTTAAGGGGGGAATCATTGGTGATAAAGGGGGTTCAGGTAACATAGGGGTACTTGGCCTTAGACTTTCATTAATGTTTTCAATATCATATATAAAACCTGGAGCCGGCTCAAGTGTGGCATTTTTCAATATTCTTTCCATTGACAAGTTTGTCAATTGTACTAATAGATCGTAAGTCTACCAATAGCAATTTATATTTAGTGCATTATTCATCTATAAACCAATTGGAAATATTTAATCAACTTACTTCATCACGATGAAAAAGATTTGAGAAAAAGTGCTACAAGAGAATTAACTTCTTAGATTTAGGACTCTATTCTATGAACCTTGTATTCAACTTTTTTATGAAATTATTTGTTGATGTAAAACACAAACCTCATTACTATCCTTTGTAATAATTTTGATGGAGTCGGATACTATTCCACGCTTTGATTTTTCTTTTACCAAACTTTGTACATCTTTTAATTCTATGAACAATTTGGTTTCGATGCCAAGTATTACGGAATGAAAACCCAAATAATTTTCGCTTATATACATCCACCCTTGTTGAATGCCACGATACGCGCATGAATAAACTTGATTCGAGATTATTATTAGAAAAAACGAACGAATTGAATTATTAGCAGAAAATCAAATATATAGTAGTTTATCTTACAGTTAACTAGTCTCTCAGTTGATGATAAATTAAAGACTTGTCGAAAAGTTCTTGATGCGTTTCGAATCTCTTGATCCTCAGAAACTTCGTCAGTTCCTTTATCTAAATCATAAAAAGGATTAGTAGAATAAGTTTTGGAAATTCAGTAATTACCGATCGATATTTTTATAATCAATATATTTTATAAAACACTTCAAACAGTAATAGTGGTCACTAGGCTGTATATACTTATAAATTTTACCTTGACGAGTGACCAAAGAATTTATTTTCGTTACAACAAACTCCACCTTTTCAGCAGAATTGTCAAGTTTTAGTAATCCTTTATCTAAATTATCTGGAATTATAAAAATGTAAATAAAAATGCTCAAGAGTGAAATTACAAATTTTTTGTTGAATTAAAAAATTACCTTCAATCCATTTCCATGCGTCTTCGATCACTTTTTGAGATTTAGACATGGCAATTTGAATTGAATTCCCATTTACTTCTGGCTGAAAGAGTATGCGAAAAGGAGACGCATTTGTGTCGAGTCTATATTAGAAGCATTAGTAAAAGAATTAGGTAAAATTTGCAAAAGTAATATTTAAACCAAAAATTGATCGCATACACATTTTGTATAGTACTAAAAACGCCTCTGAGTATTGTATTATTACTATTACTTGAAGCTATCGTTCTTTGAAGTATAAAGTGTTTAGAATTAGAAAATTTGATGACTTCCCAAAAGGGATTGGAATATTCACAAGGAGTTGGTAGAGTAAATACGCCTCGCGGTGGATCGATATGAGAACTCATTTTAAGCTATGTATTAAGCGGGACAAACAGAATAACATTTCTATGAAACCAAAAATTCCCTGCGTTGTATCGTTGCATATGCGTTGTATTGTTGCATGTACGCACATGATCGATTCCTATTGGCGTAGAATCTCGATTTTCTTAATATATATTCCATAATTAAATTTTCCATAATTAAAATTTGTTTGTTTATTACATAATTTAAAATTATTTTATCTGGAAAGAAGTTCCGTTTTTATTGGTAAATAAAATAACTGACAATTTATATAGTCTAACTAAAATTTATAATAGCCATACTAATAAATTTTACTGTTTTTTACTTTTTGTTTTAGTGTGTGAAGTGTTATGTGTGAAAAAGGTGGTAAAGTGGTATATAAATAAAATAACGTAATAAAGGATTGGAATTTTGTGGGTACAGTACGTAAAATGACTAAAATGACGTGGGGTTTGCGAACCATATGTAGTTAGCGTCTAAAACTAAGTTCGACCAGCATTAAGAAATTATGTTGTAATTTTGGCCAAAATCTGCATGCATGCGCGCATTTTGCATATTTTTTTCAGATGTTAATGTATGACGATAACGATAAGGCCGTTGCTAAAATTAATTAGCGTGGTCAAATCTGCAAAATTCCGCTTATTGTTATGTAGCATTGAACCAGCTGCCGCAACAAAATTTTCAACTGGGGGTTTACCGTTACATATCGATATTTTTAAAAGAGCAATACTAACTAAAAAGGAAATTTAATAAAATAATGCCGCACAAATTATTATTACTATTATTTTGTTTCAGAAATTATTATTCTTAATATAATTAACCAATGGAAATTCTTAATAAATAATCATGTGACTAAGCAAAGATTAAATTTACTGTAACAATCTTAATACTCGCATGTAGAACACGTATAATAAAAATGTATTATGTTGTATATGATTCAAATTATTACTATGTAAGTAGATTAAAGGTTTCATGATACGTATGTAGTATGTAGTAAATGCAACAACTATTAGCCAAGTAATTTAAGATTAAAAACTAAAAGAAAGTGTGCCTATAGTGGTTTTCGCTTACATCCGTAATCCTGTAATCTGTGACTAGTGCTCAGCAACAACTTGACACTCAAAATACTTGATCAAGTCGGAACATCGATATACATATATAACGATATCCGATTCAAGTATTTGAGTCAAGTTTTGGCTTGATTGTGCTGAGTACTACGTACGTACGTATCTGTGACAGGTTATGCCCCTAATATCAATTACCTGTCCGGCTGTATGAATTTTCAGATGAAAACTTTTATTATACGTATAAGCATTAAATTATATGCATTTAAACTCCGTACGTAACTGATTTGGGTGGTTATGCTTCCAAGAGCTGATCTAAATTATGATGAATACGTAAGCTATTTAGCGTTAGTAAAATTCTTAGTTTAAATTAATTAAGATATTAATTTTAAATTGTAGTTAAGTTGATGAACATATAAAGACCGATTTATATATCAATGCAGATATTTACAAGGTCAAAGGTAGCTCCTCTTCACATCACATAAAATTTGGATAATGATGTTCATAAGTCATTGTCTACGTTACTGCTACGTACAAGTTATTTGATATTTTAATGTCTGCGACTTTACCTATTTATCCTCTTTGTTTTTCCATTTTATAAATAATTGGGGGTTTTTTGATCTAATATAAGAAAAGCGTGCGAATTGAAAGTTTAAACAAACCTACTAAATATAATAGGGCCTAAAAGAGAACCAATTAAGTTTTTAATACGTATAAAAGATCCTTAAAATGCCTTGCAGGTTATACAAATTTGGATGTATTTTTTAAAGAACTTATACGTAAACCGCATTTGAGCCTAAATTCGGGTTTATAGATTTTAACAATGCGATAGTAAAACAGACAGCCCTGTATATTGTATATCGGGTGGGTGAAAAGTTCCTGGACAGAGACCCTTTTTAATATCTTCGCTAAATTGAAGTTTTTTTTTATAAATCAGTATCTGGATGTGTAAAAAGTATAGTTGGGGCAGGCCTACCGAATCAATAATTGTGAGAAAATTAATTGCAATTATCCGACCTCAATTAATTCATTGATCTTGATGATAGTTTAAAAAAAAACCATCACACGTAATAACTTTAAAAAAAAATCAATTAAATGGTTTTTTTTTTATAACTTACTATTTATAATCATGCAAACGATTCTTTCGAAAATATATATATCAAAGTAGCACTTAAATTTTTTATTTTTAACACGGTTTCAATGAGCACAAAAGTTCCGAACAAGTATTATACTGAAGCCTTTTTTAGACCTATAAAAGATGGCAAACATTAATGTAATTTATGTCCACAGCAAATAACTAAAAACAAGGAACTGGTTACACGAATTTCATGAATCATTTAAGGGTAGAGGTAGAGGTACTATGTATTTTAAAATTATATATAAACTTAATGGTAAATTTTTCTATATTTAATTTTATAAAAAATTATATTGAGTAAACTAATTTTAATTTATGAGAAAAGTTTGTAAAACAGGTTTTTTTGATTCTAATAGTAGTAAAATTATTAAAATTTGTTATAAACTTATTAAAATATAAAACTAGATAATAAAATTAACTTATAGATTTATGTATATTAATTAAATTCTTTGATTTTGTATTATCTAGACGAATTTTAATCTACCTAGGCAAACTTTATTATATATACACGTATATGTTTTTAAAATAATGCAATAGTTCTAATTTTTTTTAATATTAAGATGAGTACTTGTAACTCAAGATTTTATTAATAGTATATATATTTAACTAATAGCACAAAAAACAATTATAAAAAAAATATACAACTACTTATTTATACAATTTTAGTTATTGCCTAATTTAAGTAATCCATTTGAAAGTTCTATACTAATTTCTATATCTAAAACTCACTTATAAGTTCTTTATTCAAATATTCTAATTTTTATATTTATCTACTTATTTATATTATCTTAGTTATTATTAATACAAATATATTATAATTATTAAAATTTTAAAACAATTTATTTATATAAGAAATCTTTGATCTTTTAAAATCTTTTAATTTTATTTTATATCTAACTTGGTAATATTATAATTAAAACTAATATTTATAGTTAAAGTTAATTATTAAACTATTATATTTTTGTAAAATTTATATAACTTTAATATTTTTTTTTTATAATCTTATCAGTACTTTGTATATCTTTGTAAGTTTTTTTATACTACCAATCTAGTTAGCTTTATATAATATAATTTTATATTCAAATTAATTAATAGTTCAATTGATAGATTCTTTTTATTTAAAGATTCTTGCTTATACAAATTATTTGTTTAATATATTCTTTTATAAATCAAGATCTTTAAAGTAATATTATTAAAAATTATACTATTTTTTTACTTAAAATTTTTAAATAAACTTTTTATTTAAATATATATTTTCTAATTTTATTTATATAATATTGTATACTTTTAAAATTAGTCTTGATACAATCAGAATTACAGATTTACAAACTTCAAATTACAAATAAGTTGTTAAAATAAAATTAATTTTCTAAAATTATGCTGTTAATAGAATTTGAACTTTAAAACTACAATTTAAAGAATGATAATAGTTTAAAATTTTATTTTAATAAATAAATAAATTTATTTATATTATAAAATTTTTTATTAATTAATTAAAAAATAAAAAAATTTAATTAGTAATATATATTAATTTTATATAAAAACTATATAAAGCTATATAAAAATAATACAAAATAATTTATATATTTTCTATTTTTAAATATTAAATATAAAAATTTAAGTTAATTTATTAATAATATTTTAAAAATATTATATTTTCTATAATAAGCTTTAATATGTTTTATAATATTAATATATATATATAGTATTTTTAATTGAGTAAGTTTGATTATAAAATATTCTATCTTTTAATAAATACAAAAATTCTAATTTTATTCTGCATACTAGTTTTTTAAAATTAAATATTTTTATTTTTTTTTTTTTTGGTATTAAGGTGAGGCCTTGCTTATATCTTTATTAATAATTTAAAATAGTTACATGT